TGTGCATTTCATCCATATTGATTTGTGCAACTTGGCCTCTTTGGCCATCATGTATCGAAATGCGTGATTGATGGCTCGAGAGTCAAACACTACACTCCTTTGAGCTTCAAACATGATAAGGGGTGTGGCTGCACACACATTTTCTTGTAAATACATTGCCATGCCTCTGTTTGTGCTCTATTGCAGCAAAAAAGGAGCAGTTTGCAGGAAGAGATGGCCAATCGACCACTTAGTCTGCCGATCGGCTAACAATATTTGGCCGATAGCCTCAAAATTGGTCGATGACCATCATTCTTTGGCCGATGGCCATAACTCTTGGCCGATGACCTCTCAGCATGTCCATGAGGTGGATCAGAAGTGTTTTGGAGATTGGCACAATTTTCAGAAGTCTAAAATAGTGCAAACAGAAGGCAACACGAGGCATGGCAACGGATTTCCGAGCGAAGCCGACCGAGCACACATGCGTCCCTCGTCACGAGGCCATTTCAGTGCTTTTGATAACTTAGAATAGTTAGTTGTTTCGATTCGGTTGTGTAACAATTAATTAGCTTGTTAGTTAGTTAATTTTGGTTTGTAATTAATTAGCTTGTTAGTTAGTTAATTAGTTGGTTTGTAATTAGTTAGCTTAGCGTAGCTAGTTAGTTGATTCATTCGGACCCTCCGTCGAGAGGGCAAATTTTGTAATAAGTGTGTGTGAGTGTGTGAATGTCTTCCAACCCCACGTCTTTCTCCTTTTTACTTAACCGCTTACGATGGTTAGTTCTAGGTCATGTTTTGATTAGCATCCTTATGCTTGCATGTTTGCATTCATTCATCTGTCGTGCATGCACCGGGCTCAGTGCATCATACAAACTGCATTATATTTCAATACATTTACTTGAATACGTGTTCAACAGCATGTTATCAAGTTGCATGTCATATGCCATCTTAGAATAGTCGAGCCTATTTCTAGTTGCATTTTGCTTGTGTTGCATTAGCCATCTTAACATAAACTAGGATAATGCATGATTTCTAACTAGTTGTTGTTTTGGCTCAGAGTACTAGGAAAGCTTTTATGCTTTAGCATCTTGTATGAGTGTGAGTGTTAACATGACAGCATGCTTGCCATGAGGTTAATTGCTTAAGTGATATAACTGCCTGAATGCTTGTGGGTGAAGGTTGGATTGCTTGAATTGGAACAATTCATTGAAATGCGAGTTTTAAGCCCACTTAAGAGTGGCAAAATCATGTTTTCTAAGTCCACTTGAGGGTGGCAAATCCACGTCTTAGCGTACTTGCGAGTAGCACCTTCAAATCATTTTCAAACAAACAAACATGAGATGTTTTGTTCCAACTTAGGCGATCTAGTCTATACTTGTTTGCTATGCGCATCACATGGTAAAGCTAGCTAATAAACCGGAACAAGAGCACATGTGTTTTCAAAAACAAAATATCATGTTAGTAAAGGCCGATCTTTGATCGGGAGAGCGGGGGTGCTCATTGCATGACCTTCCCCTCTCGTACCCAAGTTCCCGAACCGAGGCAACTTTGGTGATGACAGACACGTGGCCTTAGGCACGAGTCAGGAATTCCTAAATTTCTCAAAACAAAACATTTAGGTAGCGACTCTGTATATGGCAAAGCAGTCCATGTTTAGCACTTCTTTACAAAAATCAGTTTTCCAAAACGATTTTCCGGATTTAGACTCTTTGGTGATTTATCGGTCTTGCATTGCACTTTGCGAGATCAGATTCAGAACCGTGGCATTGAGTTTGAACTGTAGTAGTCCAATGAACAAAACAGATTTCGCACCACTTCGCGCGCGAAGCTGGAGAGTTCTCGGGCACGTCTACAGTAGGCTAAGACGTGGATTTGCCACCCTCGAGTGGGCTTAGAAAACATGATTTTTCCACTCTCAAGTGGGCTTAAAACTCACATTTTGATGAATTGTTCTAATTCGAGCAATGAAGCCTTCATCCACAGGCATTCATGCAGTTAAACACTTAAGCAGGTAGCCTCATGGCAAGCATGCTGTCATGGCAATCAATAACACACATGCAGGGATGCTAAAGCATAAACACTTACGGTGTACTCCGAGCCAAAACAACAACTAGTTCGTAATCAATGCATGATCCTAGCTATATTAAGATGCCTAATGCAATACATGCAAAAATGCAACTAAAATAGGCTTGGCTATTCTAAGATGGCATATGAAATGCAACTTGATAACATGCTGTTGAACACGTATTCAAGTAAATGTATTGAAATACAATGCATTTTGTATGATGCGTCGAGCCCAGTGTATGCAAGACAGATGAATGAATGCAAACATGCAAGCATGAGGATGCTAATTAAAACAAGACCTAGAACTAACCATCGTAAGCGGTTAAGTAAAAGGGAGAAAGACGTGGGGTTGGAAGACATTCACACACTCACGCACACTTACTACAAAATTCGCCCTCTCGACGGAGGGTTCGAATGAATAATACAAGCTAGCTACGCTAAGCTATTCTAACTAATCTAATAATCTAATTAGAATAATTATTACATAATCAAATATAATATTAGCTAAGCTAAGCTGATTAAGAATTTACAACGATGAATTAAATTAGCTAACACATTAACTAGTTAATTACAAATTAACTAACTATACAAAGCAGTTAAAATGGCCTCGAGAAGAGGGGCATATGCATGCTCGATTGACTTCGCTCGAAAATCCGTGGCCATGCTTCATGTTGCCTCTGTTTTGCACTGTTCTGCACCTCTGAAAATTATGCCAACTTCTGTGATGCTTCTGACCTACCTCATGGACATTTTAAGAGGTCATCAGCCAAGAGGGGTGGCCATCGGCTAGTGGATAATGGTCATCGACCAATTTTGAGACTATCGGCCAAATATTTGTAGCCGATCGGCACACTAGATAGCCGATCGGCCATCTCTTACTGCATACTCCTCCTTTTGCTGCAGCAGAGTACAAACAGAGGCATGGCAATACATTTGCAAGAAAATGTTTGTACAACCACACTCCTTATCGTGTTTGAAGCTCAAAGGAGTGTAACGCTCGACTCTCGAGCCATCAATCACGCATTTAGATGCATGATGGCCAAAGAGGCCGAGTTGCACAAATCAATATGGATGAAATGCACAAAAACACATAAATGCCTTAACCTCTATCATGCATGATCAAGAGAGTCAGCGACCGAGAATTGAGGCACGTTTCATCACTTCAATTATGAAACGTCCCTCGTTCCTTGTGTTTGGCTTGACATCCAAACCAAACACAATGCAATGCATACACAACTTAACAAAGCTAATAGCATGCAAACAATGCAATGCAACCTAAACATGTAAACAACATGGCATGCAACAAATATGCAACAATGTTATATAATGCAACTAGCATGCAACAACATGCAATGTAACAAGCATGCAACAACATGCAAAATGGACTTAAATAAAATGGACAAATCTCAATCATGCCCAAATCAGTGGCCAAAACACCAAAACTAAGGCACCAAAAGACAAGACATCCATGCACACATATTGGTCCACAAGCTAGGCAACAAGAATACGACCCTTAGAGGCACTCATAGGGTGACAAAAGTGAAACTGTAACAACACTATAAGCTCTGAAATTAAGTATGGAATGATGCCAAATCAACCAAGCAAGACAAGTATGGCATAGAAAGCTCAAAGCTTGAAACTAGCATAGGAACTTGGACCAAAGCCACATGAATCAAACCCCAAAGGGCCCAGGACAACCAAAACAGTACTAGATCATCCCAAAATGAGTCTAAAACATGCACGGAAGGAAGCCAAAATAAGCTAGCATGGTGAGCATGAAGCATGAACTTGCAAGGCTAATAAGGAGTATTACACAACACCTATCAAAACCAAGCATGAGGTGACTTCAACAACAAAAATCAGAGTTATAGCATGTCAAAATAACACCAAAAATGCACTGATATGGCAGTCCACAAGCTTAGACAATAAGGCATGCATATAGGCTCATATTTAAGACGTAAAGAACAACCTTCCAAAGGCATTGAAAGAGTGACACATATGAGTGTATGGCCATAGAATATGCACTAAAATCATGGTAGAAATGATGCCAGATCATGCAAATAGCCTAAGCAATGCATGCTAGTGGACTCAATACACAAAGTTAGTAAGCAAGAATGCATTATGGCTATACGAAGCAATGCATGCATAACCAAAGTAACTTCAAACAGAGCTTAAGCATGTTGAAACATGACCAAAAGCTTCTCAGAGTTAAGCCAAAATCATGCTAGAATGATAGTGAAAAACATGATGTATGTTAAGCTAGTGTGCAAGTTTACACTACAAGTGTATGGAGCATGCAAGGGGTGACCAAACCAGCCCAAAACAAAGTTATATCAGGTCCCAAAAGTCACAAAAACATGCTTGAAAAAATCCAACATAAACCACAAAAAGATGCTACTTTATAGAGCTAACAAGGCATGGCATAGAGAGACAAGGAGGGGAGGCTATCCCCTCCCATTTGGGACCTCAAAACAAGCTTTTTGTTACTGAAAATTCCCTAGATTTTAGTGGCTTTAAAGCCCAAAATAAGTTGTTTGAAAGGCTTGAAAGTTAGCTCAAAAGGGCATACAAGCCAAGGAGCAAAAGGGAGGACAACCCCCTAGCCAACCAAGGCACAAACCAACACTTTTAGGACTGAAAAACAGAGATTTTCTCAGTTCAGAACCAACCCAAAAACAGTTTACAAAGGTGGTAAAACAAGCATGCAAAGCAAAGGTTTAAAGGAACAAGTGCTTACCCTTGAAGCACCTTGAAGCTCAACAGCAAAAGCAGCCTCTTTGTTGGCTCAAATGACCTTCCAACAGCCCAAAAATAAGTTCCAAAGGACCTCATCCTATAGATATATAACTTTAATGAAGGAAGTGTGTCACGCCCCAAACCCGCCCCTAAAAGTTTGGGCATGACCCGTTTGAAAACGAACACTTAACCTGTAGTAAATAACATATGGGGCCTTATCAGAAGCATAAAGTAGGAAAATAACTATACATATAAATTCCATTGAGCTACATCTACATGCCAGGACCTCTTATACATCACATTCATCATGGAAAATAGATAAAGCTCCAAACCATATGTTGTAGCATCGGTGATAAACAACCATATGTACAGACCCAGCCCCATCATTGGGCTTATATAAAAATCATTGAAGTTCTACCTCTTTAACTTTAAATGGGTAATCAAAATTAAGCCAACATTTCAATAGACTTTACAAAAATAAATGGCTTCGTGCAGTGCCTGAACCCACGAAGGTTGACAAAAGAAAACGGGTGTCATGACTAGGACTGACCACTTGGTTGGTTACCTACAGAAACATACATTAGACAGAGTGAGCCAAGCTCAGTGAATAGTAATACATAAATAAAACGATGCTTAAATTGAAACATAACACATAGCAATGCATATAAAGATGTAGAGTTCACATAGTTAGTCTGATTCTGTGCTACGTACATAACGGCCTTAAGTTCAATCTTCCAACATAAAAATGGTGGCTATAAGCCCTTGAAACATGGTGGCACGAGGCCCTTGAAACATGGTGGCATAAAGCCCTTGTAACATATGGCACTAAGGCCCTTGAAACATATGGTATAAAGCCCTTGTAACATATGGCACTAAGGCCCTTGAAACATATGGCATAAAGCCCTTGTAACATATGGCACTAAGGCCCTTGAAAAGTTGGCACGAAGCCTTTGGACATGCATATATGAACCCAAGAGGTGTCTCACACGGACTCTAGAGGTAACTCACAATGTAGCACTTTGTTCCGTGTAGCACTTTATTTCATTTCATAACAACTTATACGGATGGCTATAAGCCTCATAACTTTCACATATGTATGGACTCAAGAGGTGTCTCACATGGACTCTAGCGGTGGCTCACAATGTGGCACTTAGTTCCAAGTAGCACTTTGTTCCATACCAATAATCATTAGGTCTTACAGACCAAACCATACATGTAATGTCATACCCCAGAAATCAATTCATACATATGCATTATGCTTGAATCATAAATAGAAATCAGAATTCATACTTGCTTATACTTGGCACTGTAATAGTGCTAGCAAATCAATAATAAGTATTTTTTTTTGTTCGTTCCATAAAGGAATCCCCCAACATTGTGAACTTGTAGCATACTTGAACATGTACATGCATAAACTGGTAACATACGTAAACTTGTGACATACTTAAACTTGTAACATATACTTGAAACATACCTGAACATACTTGAACTTGTAACATACTGGAAACATGCCTGAAACATACTTGAACATCATTCATTAATTCAAACGGAACATATCATAACTAGAGCATTTCTTGTTGTATCGTGTCATTATCGTACGCTTAACAATGAGAGACTAATTCACATTCTCATGAGGGTCACATAATGATGCTAAACTTTAAAGTTATATCGTATATTCTGGATCACTTCCAATTCATAAGCAACATAACAAATTAACTTCAATTCATCTGGATACATGCAGCTACTCTTATATTTACTCAGAATCCATTCTTCAAGAATGAACATAAATTCTTTTGGGTAAATGACTGACTTTACGTGCTCTCTTATCAATAGCATACACCTTTGTGTAATCATTCTTATATCTTAACATAGTTGCCTTGCCTTGTAATTAACATAGTCCTAATGGTAACTGTTACATCATTCCCATGAGTTGACATAATTAACGTAAAGTTAACAGGACATTCCTGATAATTAGTAACGAAAAGTAAGTACATTCTCATTAGATTATAGATGACTTTATTGGTTTCACAATTTCACAGTTCGGCCCTTGGCCTGAGGGGTTCACACAATCACAAGTTCCTTTGATGTTTTCATAATTCCATAATGTTTCTCACATAACATACATAACTTCATAAACTCTTTTGAAGTTTCCATAACATCACAGTGTTTCTTACATAGCATTCATAACATTTATGTCAACATAATTCTTACGACGAAGATTTAACATCAATAACGATAAATGGTTAAAGGTACATCAAAGTACTACTACTCACAGTGATCGGTTCCCGGTGGTAATGGTACAATGCCCTCGTCTCGACCTACAATTACAGTGCACAACACATAATATGAGGTATACTCGATCCTTTACTTATTCTCTTTGATCGTTCAATCAATTAGTCATGGTGGTACCAAGCTCATTATTCTTTAATATGTTGTAATCCATGTCTTAGAAAACAGGAGAAATCGATAGGAAATGGTTTAGGTGAAGAAATGGTACATAACTAATTAACATAACGTGAATAGTCGTCACTAATTTGGGTATAACTTTTTCTGTATTTAGAATTTGGGAGTGAGACTAGCGCCATTGGAAACTAGACTTCCGGAGCTTGATTTTAGGCTCAAGAATCACTCAAAACGGAGTCCGGATGCAAAAGATATACCTATTCAAAGTTGGCTGGACAGAGCTGTCTCCGCACGTGCGGGTGAACAGTGCCGCACGTGCGGCCCTGGACAGCAGCAGTCCGAAAATGGCTGAAATTGTGGGACTTCTCATTTTCAAAAATCAAACCTTAATTACATGTAAATCAAAGCCCAAAACCCTTTAATACACACTACAACAAATTTGGGATTTAAAGATGAAACAAATTTGTCTCAAAATGTATATATTTCGTCACCCAAACTAATTACGACGAACATTTTTCGTCACCCGTTTTGTCTCCAAAGGGTCGTCGCTAAAGGGTCTTAGAGACGAAAAAAAAAATTCGTCATTGAAAATGATAAATTTGTGACGAATTTTTTTGTCTCCAATACACTTTGTTGGGAACATACTTGTAAGTAATTAGCGACAAAATATTTTGTCATTAAAGAAGAAATTAGAGACAAAAGTATTTCGTCATAAATATAAGAAATAGAGACGAAATAATCTTGTCACGTTTAATATAAACGAAGACAAAAACAAAAACAAATTCATCATTAAAAATGATAAATTTGTGATGAATTTTTTTTTGTCTCCAATACACTCTGTTGGGAACATACTTATAAGTAATTAGCGACAAAATATTTTGTCATTAATGAAAGAAATTAGAGATGAAAGTATTTTATCATAAATATAAGAAATAGAGACGAAATAATTTTGTTATGTTTAATATAAACAAAGACGAAAATTTTTTGTCAAAGAAGCTATCAATAGAGACAAAAACAAATTTATCATTAAAAAAGATGAAATAATGTCTAAACAAAATCGTCACACATTGAGGGTAATAGTGACAAAATGTGACAATACTTTTCATCATGACAAATTCATTTAGCGACGAAATAAAAAATTCATAACAATATTAATCTTCCACCTAAGCCAAGTAAGACGAAAAAACCTTCTTTAGGAATGGAAAATTTTGTCACTAATTCCATAATATTTTTTTCCACATTATATACCTATTTTATCAAAATTTGAATTTTAGTTCAACAAATAAAACCCTGCTCATGTTGAAACTTGTTGAATATAACAATTTCATCACAACTTAACCTAACCTATCATCAACACATTTACGAATTAACAAAATAAAAATATTCATTCATCATTACAAATAATTTCATCATAATACAATAAAATAGTGAAATATCCACAAAATATCCAAAAGTTATAACTTATACAATTCTACCAAACATCCAACAATAATTAGTGCAACTCCACAAAGTATGTGTATCCTTATCAAACAAAAAAGAACATTCAAAGTAAATTACATCATTGTTGCACGTCAAAAATGCCACCCCAATCCAATCTGCAAAAAAATTAATTAAAAACTTTAGTAATTAATTAATTACACAAAAGATTAAAAACATTAATAACTCATCAATTTACAATTAGATCAATTATACAAGTTATCCATCTAACAAGCTTTTTTTCGAGATTATGAGAATAAAAAATTAATTTTAAGGTTAATTCACAAATGGTGCATCCCATTAATGTGTCGTAAGTTCATACAACTTATATTGGTCCCTCCTAAGGTGTTTCTGTTGGTTCCTATACAAATCTATGGCTGTGTGATAAATTATTCTACAAACACAAACCAAACAAGGCCCATGTTTCTGACTGATATTGGTCCTACTAATCTTAAACCTTCTAATTTTGAAGAATCTCTCTCTAATGCAGTTAAATAATGTAATGCAAATAAAAGAAAGATTTTTTAGTTCAAATATCTGTATCCATATCCAGTAGAGAAAATTTACCAGATCCATTGAGTTGCTATCCAAAAATTCAAATGCAGATAAAATTTCACCAAGCTTTCTTTTGGCATCCAATAGTAGATTCTGACAAAGAAGACAAATAAAACAACATGAACTCAAAATTGCAAATCAAGTTCATATTTGAAGTTCACATTAACTTCGATTATTCAAAATGAAATGATATATAGAAGAGGATGCAAGTTTGTTAGGAAATTCATAATGGCATAATATCAAGAATTTTGCATAATCATTATTTCTTCAAGACAACTCATGATCAGGTTTCAAGTAACCTTTTTATACTCACTTAAGTGATATGCTTCCCTAAATAGAAATTAGAAGGGAAAATTTATTTGAGTGTGACAGAAGTGATCTTACCTTTTATGAGAGGGAACTTTTGAGAAGAATTTCATAAGATAAAACAAACATGACAATGCTCAAATAAAAGGAAAATGATAGTCATTCATTTCTTAAAATTAAGAATGAAAAACATTTCAATTTCATTATATACTTTGCTTTGGGTAATCTAAAAAATGGACCAAAAACTTTCATTAATTTATCAGAAATTTTGAAAAACCAGCCAACTTGGTTGGATTTTAACCAGGTTTTGGGAATTTTTGTCGAGTAAAGGTTGGCATATGTACTTCTGAAATGCTTTACCAAACACTGAAAAGGTTTCAAACCAATGAAGTTGTGACCCCTAGAATTGGTTTTTTGCTTTTCTTAAATAGGCTCAATTTAGAGTCTGTGCCTGCCTACAAAGTAATTTTGAAAAAAAATGCTGCAAAAAAGTACAAAGAAAACCTAACAGACATCCAATTCAATGCCATTAAAAAAATCATTATTACTCAAAAGCAATAACAAAACCCACTTGATATGGACACCAAGCTTGCTTTGGTTTGATTTGACAGTGAAACAAAAAACAATTCAACCAAATTGAGACACAAATTTGACAACATACAACACAGGATCAAATTAAAAGAAAATCAAACCTGCTGGTAGAGAGTGTAGAGAAGCAATGCACAGCAATACAGAGCTTGAAATCAGAATTAAACAGAGCAATATAGAAATCAACTACGCCTAATGAAGTAGATAACAAACAGCAATACAAAAACAAACACAATGCATCAGAAATTCAAATCAGACTATCAATCACGAAGCCTTTTTAACAAAAAATATAGCAAATTAGAATGTTTGAATCAATTCAGAAAACAAAGTTACATGAGTCACATTGAACTTCATGCTGACTCAAAACAAAATTCAAAATGCAATGCACCAGAGCTTCATCATAAATCACGAATTTTTACTTAATAAGAAACCACTACTTGATAATGAAATTTATAAACTAGTTAACTAAAAGTCCTTACTAACTTTAGTGGATAATTGAAGTTAGAAACCCAAACACCCTCATTTTCGCTTTATTTCCCCTTTTCATGCCTTTTCATTTATTAGAAACCCCTAACACTTTCCAGTTGATAGCTTTGTTCTAATCAATGAGTAAATTAATCAAACACTTGCAGATTCAAACATCTCCCAACAACACACTGTTATACAAAACCCAGTATAAATCATTCAGTAAAATTGAATTTAGGGCATTACAAGAGAACATAAAACACATTAATAATTAGATAGTATGATAAAACAAACCTTGAAGACGATGAAGATGCAGATGAGACTTGTGTGGTTGAAGTGACATTGTTGTCTTGGTTAATAGACGAGGAAGATGAAGAAGAAGAGGAAGGAGGCTGACAAAGACCCGACTTATTCTTTGAAATCTTTAAACAATGTAACCCATTTCATCGTATTTCCGAGATGATAACTTTCTCATCCAACAAATGTCCCACCGGAGGCCGATCAAACTCCGGCAGATCCAAATTATCTCCGACCTTAATATACGTCTACGAGAGAGTGAGAGGGTTGGGAGATCTGCAAACGCCGGTCTACGAGAGAGAGATTGTGAGCGTCTGCGAGAGCGATAGAAGAGAATGAGAGGACATGAGAGGAGGAGGCACTACTACAAATGTAAATAAAGATTACACTTTTTTTGTGTGATGTATATTTTTTAATCACACTTTTCAAGTTTTATTAAAGTGTGGTATTTGAGAGTGTGATTGAAGACGATGTTGAGACTTACATGTTAAAATCTGAAACAGCAACAATATTGAAGAGATCCAAGTCATAGTCAAGACCAAAAAACCTGAATGCATACACAATATATATATATATATATATATGAGAAAGCATGCTTTAGAAACCACATCAAAGAGATAGATCAAAGTATGCATCCAATGGACAACTTAAGATATATATATATATTTGTTTGATTGTTTCAACATCATACAATGAAACTGGTTGTTTCGGAAAGGAACCGTGGTTCTCAACAAGAACCAAACTTATGTCTAAGGTTCAGTTTGGTTCACAAAATCCTGGAACCAAACCACACAGTTTGGTTCTTGGTTTAGCTCAAAACCAAACCACACTGTGTACAACCCTAAAATAAATGTCAGAAATAAAGCAATCAAATAAATGTACAACCAATTCCAATCACCGACTGAAACTACAGGACACGTTATTATAATTCCCATTTGAATTATTAAAAAGCAAAGAGAAATAACACAGGATGTAACAATAAAGTGACGGAAAGAAATGACAGTTACCTCTATTTTGCATCAGCATCCAGAGACAGTGAATCCCTCATTTCCTTTGCAACAGGCTTATTGGTCAAGGTTTGCTTATATTCACTATCAGGTGTGTCTTTCCTAGACTTCGTTTTGGAACCTTTGCTGATCAAGTTGTACACACTATTCCCCAAGGAAAACTTGTTTCCATCGGTGAAGGACTTACTGACTTTTGTAGAGCCAGTGTTGTTTAGAGGCTTTCTGGTTGTATCCCCCACTTTCTATTTCTTTGAATAATTGGATCCAGTCCATTTTCACACACTGTTCTTTGAAGAATCATCCACTATGGTAATTGAAGACAAATCCACCCCTTTCTGAAAACTAAGATTTAAGTTTCATGGAAAATAAAAACCATAAAAGAGAATTTGAAATTAAAAATAAATAAATAAAAGAAAAAAGAACTGCATAATTGGTTATGTCACTATAACCTTGGTGAAGTCAGTATCTTTTTAGTATCCACAACTGAATCCAGTTATCTAAAAACTTCAACAAGTACATTTACAGAAAATTAAGTAAACAGAGAAAACTATTTAAATTACAACATTAGCATTTGTTATTGAACTTAATAACGGAAATCCACCTTTTAGAATCAAATTGAGATAAGGCAAACCAACCATTATCATATCCAAATAAATAAATGATACTAGTTCCTATGCAAGTACATTGCTAAATGCTCAACATGGCGAAACCAATGCGGGGAGAGAAGCAAATATATATATATATATAATTCGTATAAAATACTTGTGGTAAATCATCTCGTTTTGGTTGTATTTCTGCACTAAATCTATGAATGCCTGTTCAAACAAAGAAACACGAAGTTAAGCTTTGTGCTGATAAAAGACTCAAGTATAAATAAGATAATGCATATACCAAACCAAACCACACGAATTATTTTCTCCAATATGCTCTAATTAAGACAATGTACATAACCAAAACAATTACTTGATGCAAATTTAAGAAATACATAATTTGTACAAGAATTATCTTTGTCAATAATAGAAACAAAATCAAGGCAAATTTAAGAATTGCAATGTCACAATAACTTGGCCCATCTAACAAAGTTGTTTATCATGAAGACCACAATTTTTCTATTCATTTTGATTATCTGCATCACAAAAGTAGAACAAGAAATAAAACCATCACTATTTGCCAATTCTTTTATGGCTTTCCTAAATTCCTCTAGAGCCTTTTCTATTTCTTGGTTCTTCTCTTGGTAGACAAACTTTTTCTTCCAAACAACCACTTCCTTAAAAACCATATATAGGATGTAATCAATTCTGGAGACTCAAGAAGAGGAATAATTTTCTGAATTTTCTACCATTGCTCCAATTGTTTCCTAAAAGCTGTCAAGAAGCAGAACAAATTTATGTATATAAACCCAAGGTTTTACCTTTATTTTCTTCAGATATTCAAAGCAACCAAAAAGGTCATATGATTTAATTGAATTTCAGTATTCTTTTTAACAAAGAAGAAATACAAACCAGAATGAAGAGAAATCAAGTCTGCAGTCCTCTGGTAATACATCGAATAAACACTGCAATGGAAAAACACTCAGAATTAATTAAAATAAATAAATACTAAATGACGAAAATCAATGCAACATAATACAAAATCTTGGTTAGGGTTTGTGATTTTGGACTTCTAGAACTATCACAATGGTCAATGACATATACATAGAATCAATAAATCTAAATTGAAGATCTTAAATGCATGGCCAGATATTTTAAAGACATAAGACCAAATATACATAGATGACATATAGTCATCACACTGAAATATAGAACAGGAAAAAATCATCAACATTACAAACTAAAACAAGAAAAGCATCCACTTTCTGTAACATGTATAACCAGCAGCTTGCATAAAAATGAAGAACATTGTGAACCTAAAAAGAAATGAACAATCAATAATTTTCAATTCAAACAATGTCATTGATTTAATTTAACAAATGAGACCAAAAGAGCGCCATTCAACAAAAATATATCACATGGCATTAGAAACGATATAAGCCCAAGCAGTGCTTGTGTGCAAGTCTAAGCCTTAAGGAATGCTTACAGAGGTGTGAAGTGATTCGATCATCTGCCCTTGTTCTTCATCTCTCGCTAGTACAGCATTAACTTTGGTAGCAGCCTTATCAGTGTGTTTCTGGAGTTCAACAATATGCACAAGAAAATACTGCAATATACACCAGAAATAAGACCCAAATTAATACAAATTAAAAACAAATATCTAAGTTTCTTGCTTCTTATGAGATAAATGACAAACCTCATGGCCAATAACTCCTAAAATTGCAGCATAATTTGCATCTGTAGCAGTTTCTAGAGATGCCAAAACAAGCTTAGAATGGAATCTGTATCAATAACCAAGTCAGACAAACTCCAATAAAATGAAATGCACGATAGATGGAAATAAAGAGTCAAAAAAAATTTCACGAAGCATTCATTCAAGCTCTTACTTTCCATGGCTAGCCTGAAACAAATGCATGAAATAATTAGTCATTTAAAAGGGGAAAATCACAAAGCACATCAAATATTAAGGAAAATGATATACATGAGAAGCATTGAATATGTTGAGACTTACATGTTAAAATCTGAAACATCAATATATATATATATATATGAGAAAGCATGCTTTAGAAACCACATCAAAGAGATAGATCAAAGTATGCATCCAATGGACAACTTAAGATATATATATATATTTGTTTGATTGTTTCAACATCATACAATGAAACTGGTTGTTTCGGAAAGGAACCGTGGTTCTCAACAAGAACCAAACTTATGTCTAAGGTTCAGTTTGGTTCACAAAATCCTGGAACCAAACCACACAGTTTGGTTCTTGGTTTAGCTCAAAACCAAACCACACTGTGTACAACCCTAAAATAAATGTCAGAAATAAAGCAATCAAATAAATGTACAACCAATTCCAATCACCGACTGAAACTACAGGACACGTTATTATAATTCCCATTTGAATTATTAAAAAGCAAAGAGAAATAACACAGGATGTAACAATAAAGTGACGGAAAGAAATGACAGTTACCTCTATTTTGCATCAGCATCCAGAGACAGTGAATCCCTCATTTCCTTTGCAACAGGCTTATTGGTCAAGGTTTGCTTATATTCACTATCAGGTGTGTCTTTCCTAGACTTCGTTTTGGAACCTTTGCTGATCAAGTTGTACACACTATTCCCCAAGGAAAACTTGTTTCCATCGGTGAAGGACTTACTGACTTTTGTAGAGCCAGTGTTGTTTAGAGGCTTTCTGGTTGTATCCCCCACTTTCTATTTCTTTGAATAATTGGATCCAGTCCATTTTCACACACTGTTCTTTGAAGAATCATCCACTATGGTAATTAAAGACAAATCCACCCCTTTCTGAAAACTAAGATTTAAGTTTCATGGAAAATAAAAACCATAAAAGAGAAGGAGGGGAGGGGAGGGGAGGGGAGGAGATTTATGCAACACAAAATCATCCAATATGACTTCACACTAAGCATCTCCAGGGGTTGATTGACTCATTTATAATGTAAAATAATTATTCTATCTCATTTCAAAATATTTGTTGAAATTTAACCAAGAAGATTATTTTAAATGTTATTCTAGAAACACTAAGTCGCTAAATTCTGCTCTTGATGGAATACCTTCAATTTTTATAATGATAATAGCTAAACTTAACCAAAAAGAATTCTATGATGATCCAATGGGGAAAATGCACAGTCAACATTAAAATAGTAGTTCAATTTTCCAGAAGAACTCGTACCTCTGCACCAGACAATTTATCAGAAGAACCTAATTCCCCACAAGAGAAACACTGGTGTTGCTTCTTTTGACAGTTCTCACAGAATTTTTTTTTGTATTGCCTGTAAAATACATACATCACATGTACTTCAGAATGTGCCAACAATCTATCAAACAACATTAACAACCAAAACAATGCAAGCCAAAAAAGAATATATAGTAGAGACCAAAGGATAGCGTACCTCTACTAGTTCATCAGAAAGGCAGAGAGATTCACACATGGATTTAGAACCAGCTTCAACAGTGGCATGAAAAGACCTCATGCATCTTCCTTCGCAGCTGCATGAAATCAAAATAATAAAGTTACTTGGCCCATATGATATATGGATGGGGTGGACAGGATGGGGTAACTCTTAGTCATACATCCAAGGACTAACAAACAGAGATCTATAGCAGAGTTCTAAAGGTTTCAAGAACTACATGAAATTTAAAGCCTAATTAGGATAAAATCCATTGGACAGAGAGACGAAGGAAAATTAATTATGAATTTCCATTGCAATGCATACTAAAAACCAAAGGGATAATAACCCTAGTCAATGCCCAATCCATACAGATGAGCACACCTAACAAAACCACATGGCAAAAGTGGATGCATTTGCCAAGTGCCAACTAGAAACAGTTGAATAAATCTTTACATGAAATATATGAAATTGCATTGACAAAGTGGAAAATAGGTTTTGGTGGAGATTTAGGATAATAATAAAATATTTAGCAGAGAAAAAATGGAAGCCAGAAGGGAAGGAGATACCTACTCAATATTGGTGAAAGTTCCTTCCTCTGGAATGTCAGAAATATCATGGGCTAATAAATGGCGAGAGCGTTCACGTGTCTGATATAGCTTATCCCTCACATCACTAAGGATAACACGATAAGGTTCACTTGCAGGAACTTGCTTCCAAAACTCTGTATCATGATAAAGGTTAACAATCGAACACTGCTAACAATGCGCACACACAGAAATGGGGCTGTGGGCTTCTTTATGTTCTTTTGACAATGATTATCTGGTGTATTTATTTTAAATACAACAGACCAAACTGAATTCAAAGTGAAAACACACATGTAAAAGGCTGAGAAAGCAGCAATAAAACACCACCTTGGTTTGTGAATTCTGTGTTGGAAACAAGAACTAGCTAGACAAAACCTTTCTTATTAATCTAATTACCTATGTAGTGTTTTGCATCTCTCTTTGATGATCTGTGGAGTTCTTCGGCTCGAACACGAAGCTCATCACTGCAACGCCACATAGACAACTGGCCAAAAAAAAAGAATTAGAATATCAGTAACAGTTATCGAACATAAAGAAAAATGAGCTCCTTAAAGAATAAAATCACCGAAATAAACAACAATTGAAAGAGTTGAAACCTCATACATGAGATCCTCAATCTGAGAATAGTGCAAGTTAGCAGCCATCATCCTAGCCAACAAGCAAACATCCCGTGTGACCTCAGGAGTGACCCTTGGATTACCTACATTTGATGCCAAACATATGTTAAGCAATAAATGACAGCGAGAGAGAGAGAGAGAGAGAGAGAGAGAGGAATCTGGTCTCAAAAGCTGCCCTTAACCAATAAAACCACTTAAATAAAATGAAAACTTGGAAGTATTCATAACTAGTGAAAAATGGCAGTTGAAGTACTTTTTAACTTCTCAATTTGGTAAGAAAAGGATCATACCATCTCGATCGCCACCCATCCAGGATGAGAATTGAATAAGGGGAGCATTGTAAGGAACACATTCATTTATTCCTATGTTCTTTAGAGTTGTATCAACACGCCGTAAAAATTTAGGAACACCCTTCCAGATTGTTTCGTGGAAGTAGCTCATTCCTGCCCTCATTTCTCCTGCTCTCATTTCATCTTGTGGGGTTGGAGAAGTTCTCCGAATCTCATCTCTCCGAAAGGCAGCTTGAATCTGGCATGAAACAAACAAAATAAAATAAAATAAAATAAAATAAAATTGGTTAAACCTCTAGACACAAATCCAATTACTAGATCAATAGGACATAATCATAACTTTACACTACTATAATGATTAATTAGGTTAAGCATTTCAATATAAAACAACTAAAGCAGATAATTGCAAAGAAAATCAGCGCTGCACAAATGCCTGCCCTCATGGTGATGAGTGATACAACTATATGCTTTCAAAATAAGTTTTTCTTTAAGCATAATTAGGGAAAATAATCAAATCAAACATCCATTATTAGTACTTCAAACATAGACAATTAGTGATGAACTATCAACATTATATCAGAAAAACAAAGAATAATGCACCATAACCTGATTAGAGCAAGCCAAGCCAAGCCCAAAAAAGTACATAAATTGATTAGAGCTAATAATAATGAATTTTTCGAATAATAAAACCAGAACGTCTACCTGTAGGCTTTACAGAATCTGCAAATGCTAGAGCAAGCCAAGCCATGCCCAACTGAGGTTTGATTCATTTACTTCCCAACCCCTTGTATTTACACATACATGTCTATATTTGTATAGTGGAAGAAATTTTAATGTTCAAGGGTTCTTTTAAAAGGGTTTTGTCTCAAATTCATAGTTCTCTGTATATAGTTTTGGATTATTATATGCATTATTCTTTGTATATGTTTTACTTCAAAAATTAATTCAAAGCTTAAGCTCAAGTTTCATTTGATTTTTTTCCCATATTAGACTAGCATATATATACTCTTCTGCATATGACTACCCTTAACCAAGTCAAAGCTAAGTATAAGTATCTCAGTAAGTGTTTTTGTGTTGCAATTGAACTGGGTTATGATTGATTTCCATCACAGAAAAGTTAACAACCAAATCTAGTTTGAATAGTGGTTGTTTTAAGGATTGAGAAGAGTCCAAGATGGCAGATATCAGTCCTACGGCAACAGATGCAGATAATGATAATAAAAATATGAGGGTGATTTCTCTAACCCTTCTTTTTTTCAAAATTTTGTTGCAATTCGTACCTAAATGTTTGCTCTAAACTTCAGTTTGAACTCTCTTTGTTGGGAAATTTTGCTAACTTACTGATATACATTTCGATACCATATTAATATTCAGCATTCATGGGTACAGTTTCAAATTGATCAATTCCTAGCCATGTTGGGTTCTGATGCTAGTGACAAGTCAAGGGATCAAATATACAACGGTTTGATTCGTTTACAAAAAAAAAAAAAAAAAAAAAACCAAAAACCCTAAATGGAGATCAAAATCATAACCCATTTACTCATTTCCCATAAATCAAACCCATACAACATCAAAACACAAAAACAAACAAATCTTAGAACCAGAGTCAAATAGGGAAATAGAGAAAGGAAGAGAGACAAAGAGAGGCAGAGAGAGAGAAATAGAAAAACCTGATTCAAAATTAATGGGCTTGAGATGGTGTACCGATCACGACGATGAGACGGTGAGCGACGGTGGCCGATGGTTAGTCGATGAGAGGAGACCGATGGGCAGTCGACGAGAGCGAGAGCGAGAGTGAGAGTGACAGTGAGAGTAAGACACTGAGTGTTGATTGGTATTTCCTTTGTGTATGTATTATTCGACACATACAGAGAAATAAACAAAATTTTTAAAAAAATTAATAAAATTAAACATAAAATAAAATTAGGTGGCAAATATCCCTCCAAAAACTTTTGATCACACTTATTCAAAAATTGTGATTAAAAAATATATATATATAATCACACTTATTTAGAAGGTGAGATTAAAAATATATATATATATATATATAATCACATTTAATTGAAAAATGACATAAAAATATATATTATCACACTCAATCAAATTAAATGTGATTAAAATGTCAATCTAATTTTTTTTTATCACACTTCTAATAAAAGTGAGATATTTTATTTGTCAAAGTGTGATCTTTAACTGTTTTTGTAATAGTGAGGTTTACCTAGACGCCGAAGGGGGTACTGCACACGTCGGTGTGGTCGCCACTGCGAGAGAGAGAGAGACTAGGGCAGGGTTGGGTGTGAGAATGAATTAGGGACTTAAGCTTTTGATTTTATTTTTATTTTTTTTTGGGTGCTTGGCTCCCAAAATTTTTATTTTGCCCCTATTTTTTTAAAAAAAATGATTTAGACCTCTAAAAATAGACATATAATAGAGCATTAATTTGTCTTTTTCTTCTTCATTTTTTGTCTTTTACTTCACTGTTTTTTTTTTTTTTTAATGGGTGGACAGCTCATTAGATAGGGATGGCAATGGATAACCTATCCTATGGGTATCCATGGAAACCCAACCCAAATACATGGGTTTTCCCTTTTTTTTCTTATCCATTGGGTAGGGTAAGTAATATTCTTTAAATATCCATAGGGGATGGGTTGGGGATGGGTACCCACTAATTTCCCCATATGTTTTTTTTTTTTTTTAAACATTCACAACCAAAACTAAATATACATTCAATCTTTTTTCTTTTATTTATTTATTTTTTTTAAGGTTTACAACCATTTTTTTTTTTTAAGATTCACAACCAAAACTAAATATACATTCAATCTTTTTTCTTTTATTTATTTATTTATTTTTCAGGTTCACAACCAATTTGTTTTTTTTTTCTTTTTTTTTTAAGATTCACAACCAAAATAAATATACATTCAATCTTTTTTCTTTTATTTATTTATTTTTTTTTTCAGGTTCACAACCAACTTTTTTTTTTTTTTTTTTTTTTTTTTTTTTTTTTTAAGATCCACAACCAAAGCTAAATATACCTTCAATCTTTTTTATTTTTATTTTTAAGGTTCACAACCATTTTTTTTTATTTTTAAGATTCACAACCAAAGCTAAATATACATTCAATCTTTTTCTTTTATTTTTTATTTTTTTTATTTTTTATTTTTTAAGGTTCGCAACTTTTTTTTTGAAAATGGTGTAAGAGTAGATATGAGAGAAGTCAATCAATGCCGAGTTTTTTTTTCTTTTTAAGATAAAAAATTTAGGAAATTAAGATTGGTTTATAAAAATAATTTAACAATCACATTAATAACCATAGTGTACGGAAGAAGTTGAAAAGGATGTAATTTTGCTTGAATGAAAGCTATAGATGATTTTTTTTAATTATTTAAAATCAAAAAATTAAAAATTTTAGTTTGAGATATTGGAGCTCCCACAAGACTTATGGTTAGAAACCCCATTTTACTTATATAATATGTATATATATATATATATATATATATATTTAATAAGAATTTATATTTGTTTTAGATATTTTTTTAATATACAAATTATTTTTTAAAATTTTTTTATAAAAATAATTTAACAATCTCATCACTAACCATAGGGCATGTTTGATTGGGTGGATTAAAGTATGAGATTGGGATTATTAATCCGTGGGCCCAATTATCCTATGTTTATTTTAACATTTTGGTTTATGATTATTAATCCAATGGATAATTAATCCAACAAATTTCTAAGATTATTAGTAATGGGATAGGGGTGGGATTATTAATCCAATTGATATTAATCTAATTGGATAGTGAATACCACACTAATTTAATAGGTTTATTAATACTTCACTATTAATCTTGTGAATCAAACATGACCATAGTGTATGGGAGAAATTGAAAATAGTGCGGTAGTAGGTATGAGAGAAGTAAAAATGGCTTGTGGGTTAAGAAAAGTCAATAAATGTTGAGAATTTTTTTAAATCAAAAAATTAAAAAATTAAGACTGGGATATTAGCGCTGTTACAAAACTTATGGGTTAGAAATCTCATTTTTCTTATACAATAATATATAGATATAGATAGATAGATATAGATATGTATTTTAAGTATTATGTTTTATATTGTTTAATTTTATTTTTCATGAAACGAAATTTTTATTACTAGTGGTGTTGTAAAGAAAATTTTACGTAGAGCTTGGTTTTCTTTTGGAATTATGATTCCAATAAAAAATTTTCAAAATTTATAATCAAATACATAACTTAAACACATATTAAGCTTAATTCAAAAATTATTTTCAAAACTTATAACCAAATACACAATTCAAAACTCAATTCAAAATTATTTTCAAAACTTAAAACCAAACTTTTTTCAAAACTCTATCTTAAAAATAAAATTAATTAATTTTATTTTATTTTTTAAAATCATGATTTGAGTGTGAAGTTGTATTTTGAGTCATGAGTTTTGAGTTGAATTTTAAAAAAAGAAAATTTATTTGGTTATAAGGTTTAAAAAGAATTTTGAGTTATATTTTGTAATTTTTTAGATTTATTTTTTTCAGATAAATATTTTATAAAAAATATTTATTTATTTATTTTAATGTGCACTGTATTTCATATATTTATGTGGGGTATTTTTTTTAAATATTTAAAAATTTATAATATTTTATTTTAATTATATAATATTAATTTTATTTTTTTATTTTAAATATTTTATTTTAATTTAACCATATTTTTTTTATTATTTTATATTTTTTAAATTTTATTTTTTTTAAATTTCAAATTTTTAAATGATCGAGTCAATTTAGTGATCGGATGCCGATAAGACCTTCAATTTGCATACCGAAATAGAAACACAGACATATATTCCTACGTTAGATAGATATAAACACAAATAACATATAATGCATGCAATTAATGTAGAATTTCATCTTAATTACGTATTAAGAAGTCTTAATCAAGGATCATGGGCTAATCACAGATCGGGATTATTACACTTAATCTCTGCAATGAAATCTTATAAGTTGATTAACAAGAGGTGTCAAGGGTACTTATGTAGTGTGTTGAGTGTTCAAACTACAGATGCTACCTTAGATAGTATTCCAGTAGTGAGGGACTTTCCGGATGTATTTCCGAAAGAATTACCAGGAAATTTGATTGACCAAGAAATTGAGTTTGTGATTGATGTGGTATGGGTACTCAACCGATCTCTAAAGCCCCATACTGTATGTCAATGTAGACACCCCATTTTTGACTGCCCTTAAGACTTGGGCACTACTGATGGTCT